GAAAGTATAACAATTAAGGTATTAACTATAACTAGATTAGCTTTTTCCTTACTTTTAAAATAAAACTTGTTTCAATTACTCTTAACTATTTTTTTAGTCAATTGTAAAGGGGTTTTAGATATTTTCTAATTGTAAACGTGTCAGTGGCCTCCTATCTCTTTGTTCATGATTCATTTTGTGGCAAAACATTCTCTTTTGATAGAAGAAATAAAGCAATCTAGGTCCTTCAGGTTTGAAAGGCAATTTCTGAGTAGCGTATTACCAATTAATCAGTCTGTAGGACATTTTTTTCAATTTTATTTGTGTGTATTAAACTTCTTTTTTCATTATTTACACTAAAGTGCATTATTTTCTTGAGCAAGTATCCCTTCTTCCTTGTGAGGTTTAACATTAAAGCAATGTATTGAAACGCCATTACCTTTGCTCATAATTATATTGCGTCTAAGATAGCTTACACTTAAAACTTCAGTTGTATGCATTGTCCTTTAAGTATTAATTGAAGATTTACTAAGGGTTTATAAAGCCCTTCTAACTGTTACGTGAAGAGTCAAACTCTAGTTAATGTAAATTACAGCCTTTTAGGTGCTTGGGGGTTAGAGGTTTTGTTTTTTGGGAAAGGCGGACTTTAGTAGTGTGAGGATTTGTGTATTGTTTCATGGGAAATTTGGGCTCTGGGAATGATAAGAAAATTTTCCATTCAAATTTATTTGACGTATTAATGCTGGCTTTGATATGTACCCATTCCATCAAGGCAACTGGTAGCAGTTTTTAACAGAGATGTTTTTGGTCAGCAAAGCTTGTGGCACCTCTCTTCCCCACAAATACGTGTTTCGTCTGATGTTACTGTTTTTAACCTCTGTCAAGCATTGAATTTAACATGTCAGCTACTTTTGATACATTAAAATATTATGTTCAGATTGAATTTAAAGAAAGTAATTACATTCTTTAAACCCAAGATCTTATGAAATTAAAAATTATAACATCTAATTTTATTCCTAATATAAATGTTAAATAGCATATAGTATAAAAATTTATTTCCTTCAGTTATGTACTCTTTCAATAGTGCTTTTAGACAAATATATCTAAGTATTAATACTTTCGTATTAACCCCATTTTCTCTATTAACCAATTGATGCTGTGAGAAGATATGTAACTTGACTAAGGTCAAACAGCAACTAACAAAGATCGGTGTCCAGAATTGTTCTTCACCTGCCCCAGTCTTCTTCATTCAAAACCAACAAGAAAGCAAAGCTTAGTCTTTTCCACATTAAAAAAAAACAAAAACCCAAACCCCAAATTCACCACCCTTCCATCAGAGAAATAAGATTAGATGTGACCTTTTTGAAGTATTTAGGGTAGGTCTAATTAAATAGATTAGGATAACGTTTAAGAAAGAAAAAAAGAAAGGAAAACTAAAAGAAACCACCAAGTTAGGCAACTTTATTTTCAAATGATGAACATTAGAGCTGGAAGAAACCTTACAAATGTAAAAGCTAACATTTTAATTTTGGTTTGAGAGCTGAGGTCCAAGACAGAGTATGATTCTGAAGTACCATGACCTAGAAATCTTGGTCTCTTCATTCCCATTCTGGTATTTACTTCCCCTCAACCTGGGAACACACTGACTCAGAAAAGTAAGGTATAAAAGAGAATCATTCAAGACTTTTCTTATATAGCTATTAGGAAATAATGTATATACATGATTTTTTTAGCAGTAGAAAAAGATCGTGAACATGTATAATTTTGTTAATTCATAGCAATCCTCAAGCACAATTAATGTTTAATAACCTGCATTGCTATATAACATAGTCCTATTAAAAAAACAAAAACTTTACCTCATTATGAATAAAATATACTCAAGTAATAAAAAAGTTTTTTTATTTTCTGAATTACTTTTAGGATTACTGTTAACTTAATATTTGAGGAAATACTGCTTTTTAAAGCATTCTAAGAAAAGTAAATAAACTTTATTTCCTAGGTAGTATGTAAATATTTCCAGGATATAGTTATAATTAACAAAACAAAAACTAATCATATAACCTCACCCTTTCTTATTAGTTAAAATTTCTTGGAAATTGCATTTATTAAAACATTTAGTTTAGTAACTATTTTATGAGAATATCAGTAACGCAAAGCTAGTGAATGGAATTTAGTGTTACCCCTTTTCAAACCTCTTTTGCTGTATTTAACTTATTGTGTGACTGTAGACAACTAGTTTAACCTGAGTGATTCAATTTTGCTGTCCTTAAAAAGTAACATTATCTGATGCTTGAATCATAGAAGAATCAGTGACTTAATATTCACATAAAAATCGAAACTGGGAAGAGGGCTTGCAATACAAGTTAGAACTTTTTTTATTTTTTTACTTAGAAACATTCTTGTTAATAGGATATGTTTTGGAAGATAAAATGTTTTAGAAAAATAGCTCAATAGGCCCAATAATTTTTTAAAAAATTCCTGTTCAGAGTGGGAAAATGTAGAAGAAAAATTTTTACAGTTGAATTATTGACTAAGAAGTTGCTATTCTCTGATAAAGAGAAAAAAAAAACATATTCCAAGTCTAAGATCTTGAATAGACATAGAAAAACTCATACTCTAAATGAGGAGATGCTATTAACATTTGCTTAATCTTTTAAAATAAGTAAATCTACAGATGATAAAATATTTTATTAGGGTTTTTTTTTCCCTCATTTTCTAGATTTTGCAAAAACAATATTAAAATTATTTTGGAAAGATAAGGCAGAATTCCCCTGAATAAATCTGAATGTCTGACAATTAAGTGAGAAACATCTTGAAAAGCACAATAAAGTTAAAACTAAACAGTAATTAAAGGCTAAATCACTGTAATCTTTTGTTGGACTTATTTTAATTTGATCTAAAGGTATTATACCCACAAATATAAATTTCTTGGTAAGTGATGCCCTTACAGTGAGTATCAAAAAAAAATTCTAGCCTTGTATTATCACAGGTTTGGTGTGATTTGTTAAGACAACATCCCCTCTAAAGAAATATACAGCCTCAGTGTAAACATGCACAAGAAAGATTTAGAAAAAATGACAGGTTAAGCTATGATATTAGTTATATTTACTGTGTGGATTTTATTTAGTGTTTCCCTGATACCTACTCCCTGATCTTATTTGTTGGAAGATTACTATTATACCTCTTTTCTTCTTTTAAAATTCCTTTCTTCTGACATTTCTGTCATCTTTTTTTCTAATCCTGCTCTACCCAGGTAATGAATGACAGGAAGTCACCCACATTTAGGTTTGGGATGAATCTTTTGCAGATTGCTTTTTGTTTCATACAGATGTAAGATCATATTTTTTCAAATTAATGGGGAGTTTTCTTGGAACAATAATTGGATTGATATATTCTCTCCCCAAATCAAATTATATACTTTTTGTATTAGTTGTTTGCAGAAATTCTGTGGCTTTTGATTAAGATCAATTATTCAGCCACTGTTTGCAATTACAGATGAATCTAGCTGTATTGAAAAGAGAAGTGCTCTACTATTAAGCACTCTTAAAAAACTAATTAACTGAATACTCTTTCAGAAAATAGCATGTCTCAAATGCTCATATTTCCATAATTATAAATACCACTGTCATAATCTTTGGTTTACTAAATAGTTCACTGAACATACGTAGATACATGGCTTATAGCATTAAAAGCCTTGCAAATAACTTCTGTTCACATTCCATATTTTTTTAATTGGTATATTTTTTATTTGCTTTTTTGAAAATTATGAAGTTAATAAAAAATTAATTCTAAGGTAATGTTTTTCATGTAGAAAAACTAATAATGTAGTTAAGCATACTGTCTGAATAAAATTGTGATAAATGGCACATTTTCTTAAACTCTGAAAATACCAAGTTACATTGGAAAGTGGCAGAAAGAAACAAACCGGAAGAGAATGTTACAAAATTCTATTGCTGAAATTAAGGTGATTATTTTCAGTGAGAATGAA